ATGTTATTTCAAACTACAATATCTATCGTTATACGAAGTTTCATCAAAATCGTAATTGTTTTACTTAATTATTATGATGTAAAATTATTGTTTACAAGTAGTGCTGTTTTTTTGCCGATGATATGTAAGTTTTGTAATATTTTACAATGACCGAAAGACTTATTTTGAATTTAATTGTACCATTAAAATCCACTTTCTTACGATATAAAAACCAAGATATTTACATACTCCTTTATAACTTGTATTCTGAGGATAGGTTGCAGATTCTTATAAACATGTTCGCGATAAAATTTCTTTATATATAGCATTCATAACATTAAGAAAAATAAAACAGCGCTCGACATTTATTATGGGCGTTTTCACACTTGAGCTTTTATGTTTTAACGCGACTGCACCAGTTTGGGGCCTCGAGAAGCTTAGACGTTTTGTACATTTTTGTTTCAATACTTAATCTTTTATATGTGTTACTATTCTAAACTATTTTAACGTTCATAATTCTGCTCGTGCCAGTCGAATCTGACGCTTAGCTTTAGCAAATAAAAAAGCGTCACACTTGCACTTATGACATTTTGAATCATAAACATTAAAAAGCGTAAAATCATTTGCCTTCGTTCGGTTCTCTTTTTGATGATAACTTTGGAGGATTTTTTGTTATTCGTGGCATGGAGGCTCCAGCAAACCCGCTTTGTTGTTGTTCTTTTTTGGGAGTTTTATTCAAATCTCATCTCGCACATAAAAAGATAACATGCCCGTGCGAAGAAATAAAAAGTAGAATAAAAAGCTTTGGCTCATTGTTGTGGTAATGAATGTGCCGGGTCACATTCGATTCGTAACCTCTATAAGCGAGCCTCTTTGCCCTCTCGCCCAATCTTCAATATATCGTATTTCTTGTTGTTACCGGTTCATTTGAACATAAGTCATTTATGTTATACTCGGAATAAACTCATTGTCATGTAATGATCGAACGACCATATATACTTAATTGCATAACTATTCACATCAAAATGAGATCAAAAAACGATGCATTTGAAGTAATCTTGCACTGAATGCATCAATCGTTGTATTTAATCTGTATCAAATCGATGTACTAATGAAAGGATGTTTATAAATAATTTAACTGTAGTATCGAATCGTTATTAGTATTCCGATCATTAACCCTTCCTGCGGTTGTCACAGAGTTTGCGTGCGTGTTTTAATGGACAGTGAATTAATAAGAGTAATTCATCTTCAAACGACTGCTAACCCGATTTATTATTAACGTGTGTGTATTAGTGAAAATATATCGCGTTCTGGAACGACTTTAGTCTAGTTTTAACACTCACCTGCAACATGTAAATGGCGTTTCCATGATATGTCCTGACGCCATCACGCTCAAGTGATTCTTGAACTCCATGTTGCGTTAGAAACTTGGATGGTTACCAAAGAGAAAATTAATTGAGTTATCGCTGCCTACAAAGATTGACATGACAAGCGTGTCTCTAAAACGTCGAAAGCGTGACATAACATATATTATCTAGTCGATCAAAACAGTTTATAAAAATACTTCTGGATCGGAAATGTGTGGTAGCAACCATTAAATTGTTGCAAAGATTAAATAGATCATTTGCTATAAAATAATTTACTTGTTTTCTGTAGTATGAAAATATTCAAAATCATAAAAAGAGCAAGAAATAATATAATCATTTAGAGCGGCATTATAAAAAGTTTACCGGTAATTATTTACCTAACGCGTTAGTACTATAATTGGTAGTGATCGAATAGATCGAATAATTATTTCATAAAATGTTTAAAATGTATCGCGTGACTGCAAGATATTTGCATATTATTTGTCTCATTAAGCTTTAATAATGCATCTTAGCTGTTAGTACGTCATGTAAACGTAATGTACTCACTAACCTTGACGCTTGGCCACCGTTTCAATAATTTTCATTTAACATTCTATTTCGAAAATGCTTGTTTTTATGATTCCTAGATAATAATATGTAATAGATTATTTAATGAGTCCTCAGACTTTTTATACAAATTCAATAATTTTACCAGCAATTTAACCCTCCGTCGGTCGGATATTTTTTCACCTTCGAACGGTCGGAAAGGTCTGGCTGGACCACCATTCATTTTACATGCATTTATATGGGATAAATGAGTTTTTGGTGTCCTATATATTAACGATTATATAAAAAAATCAAGAAATATAAAAAAAATCATTACTTTTTTTGTTAATTTTTCTGTTTTAAATCAATGAAAAATAATACTTATTCTTTTTCGGCGCCTTTGAAATGAATGTGAAATTCAAATGAAAACAAAATGAGGTGCGTCGCCTTTGAAATGAGCTGTAAAACTCAAAGTGAAAATATAATTTCACTACAGGTTTGCCAAAAAAATTTCGAACGCAGTACGGGTAGAAAAATTGTTGATAATGTGTGCATTATTCATCCGATTTTCAGTGTTTGCGATTACCAATAAGTTTGGTAGGTTCTCAAGGAACTCTCTTCATGAAAATACTAACATTCATGTTAGAACACATAGCAAAGAATATAAACAACGCAGTTTGAATAGAAAATACCATGAAAAAAGACAAAATACTGGTTTACATATATCAAAAAGCGTATATTTCATACAAAATGTATGGGTGGTCTAGACAGACCTTTTCGACCGTTCGAAGTATAAAAAAGTTAATATCCTTATAATTATCCTTCTGTACATTTTTTCGTCCTGATTTTTTCATTGATCGTCAGCTAATGAAATTTTAGGAAAAGTCAAGAAATTTCAAGTCGATAGGATTACTAGAAGTATTTTTTTTTTTAATTGAAGTCGAAAGAAGTCTGGCCAGACCACGCCGACCGACGGAGGGTTAATGAGTAGTCAGACTTTTTATACAAATTCAATAATTTTACCATCAATTTAAATTATGACCACCAAATGCGGCGTTAAAATCCTTCATTGCATTTATCAGTTCTTTGGATATCTTCGTCTATAGGGCAAGTTCGATTGAAAACTCCGCTCGTGCGGTACGAAATACGGTTGGGCAATAAAGTAACATAATAGCCGTGGATGATGGTTCATTCGCTGGCGCTCATAGTCAGCCCTGATCGATGCAGCCGAGCACCGAAATCAATTAGAAAGCACCACGTTTGAAGTGAACGGGCGCGAGTTTCACAACATTCTGCATTCCGATGTCGCGAGGGGACTTTAGATGAATCCAATTGAATACTATCTTTTCTAGGAAGGCGCATCTGAATGCCTTTGATACCGGCGAGTGCACCATAATCTCTGATCAGATTATCACAAAAGAGATTATATATGGTATATATAACAGCCATATAAAACGAACAATCATCAACCAGCCGACTCTTACAAGAGTATTCTTTGAAATTTTTTGAATACCGAATTCGAAGTTTAGATGGTAATCTTGATATAATTAAAGGTGAGAACTGAAAAATCCCAAAATGACATGTTTGGCGAGATTACTTGATGCGATTCAGATTACCTGAGATGGAGGTTTTATTAATGTCGCTCTCGGACCATAAGTAATTATAAAAGGCCCGATGCAGAAGAAGGATTTTGAAACACTAATGATTTAGAGAAAGCTTTTTCGCATATAGTAAAGCATACTAATAATTTTTTTTTTTTTTTTTTTTGATTTATTATTCATAGCTATACAAAGTACATTCAGCTACATTAGTTACAGTTATATATTATTTGTCTGCGTGAGAAGGATCGCTATCCTGCGATAGCGCCTTCATAGAAGTTATGTTAAATTTTGTAGTAAATCATTGCAGATTCTTTTTTGAGACGCTTTGGTGGTAAAGGCTTGAGCAGATCTGACGCTAATACGTTTGGATGACGACTTAGACGAGCTCTGTATCTGGTGCAGTAAAGACTAATTTCTTCTTCTATAGTTCGAATTCTGAGATCTTGATGCATCTACTAATAAAATGATTCATAAAAATGTATAATTGACGTAATCATCTTGATGTTCATCATCTTTAAGTATTGATACTGCGTGTACAACAATCGTAATGCATTATACAAGAATTTTGTTCCATTGTACAAATAGAGGTTCGAATCTCTTTTGTTAACCAACGTTGTGTTTATTTGATCATAAATTCTTATTTGATTCGTGCAATAGAGATTTTTAAGAGTGCTTGTAATAAACATTTATCTCTGGTAACGACGTTACACAATGCGAGCATCATGTGCTCATATAAATTTCAACCCTTTTGTTGTCAATGCTCTGCATTCCAACGTCGGAGATATTCCGAATACAGCTTTTAGATTGTTCAGTGATACCCGAAGTTGGTATTTTATTGATATGCTTATTAGTGGCCATTTTCGTCTCCTCGTCGTGCATATCACAAAACCTCCATCTTGCATGTGAACGCTTCAAGTCTAATGAGGCGGCAAGTTGCCTTTCATATAAAAGGCTTGCTGTGCGGTATTTTGGATGAAGTAATGTTCTGCTATTTAGAATCTTGAAATATTTCGGAATTATCTGATGAATTCTTATATAAATGGTATAGGTTATGTAATAGTTATGCTTTGAACTTTAATTAAGAGCTTTTAAGAGGGTATCAATTACTTTTATTCATAAAATGATGATATTGTTCAATAATTTTCAACTATTTGTAGCTAAAATTGCTAGCATGATGATAAATGTTATTGTATAATAAATTTAACCACAAAATCTTGAAGTCATTATTTTCTTGGTTATGCATAATAATCGGGCGTTGCGCCTATAAAAATTGTACGAATTTTAATTATTTGATATCTACACGCTTCGACTAACACCTTACTCTTCATTCAGTGCAAAATAAAATTTGATATCCTAATATTAAATAAAACAACATGAATACTATAGCAATTAATAAAACATCCATAATGTGTAAGAACTGTTTTGCGTTCGGGATAAATATTTTATTATTAATTACATTTACTGAAATTAGTTGTAGATTATATTCAAAATTTGATTTAAGTTTTTAAATATGTTTTTTCTATTTCAGGCCCAGATATACCACAAGATGTTTCACCCACAAATACAAACGAAGAAGAGGAAAAAAGTATGAAGCGTAAGTAAATTTACTTAATATTTGTTGAATGTTATCATAATTGCAATGTATTTGATTTTATTAATTTTGTTTTCTTGTTGGATTTAAAGTTAATATATAAATTGAATGATTAATAAAATTTATTACAGATTTCGCTGCTTTATTAACCGGACGGAGTCCTTTAATTCACCGTCGGGAAGATTTAAGTGCGATTATTGACTCACATAATCCCAGAAACGTGGTAGCAACAGGTCGATTCGATTTTCATCGTAAAAATCTGCATTATTCATTTTACGTATCGCAACCAGCATCGAGGCCAAGAGCTCTACAATTTCTGGACAAATCAGGCAGTATACTCGAAGAACATTCTCTGGTTACTCATGGAGAATATCAGAACGCCACAGGAAAAGTATGCGGAGTTTGGAGAAGGGTTCCTAAGGAATATAGGCGATTGTTGAAAGATGAAAAGTTATTTGTAGCTTTGCTTTGGAATAGCGACGGAGTTAACCACACTGGTGGTGGTAAGTGATTTTTATTAGAAATTGAAACTCAAACATACATGTAGAATGTAATAACTCATTGTTTTATTTTGCATATATTTCATAAAAACATTTTTTAATTATAGAGCTAATTCTAAGTGGTCGTATCGGGCGGTATGCCTCCTTAGGAACTGAGTTGTTTAGTTCACTTTTGGAACCAGCTTCTGGAACAGATAGAGAGCGTATGTCCGGAGCAGGTGGCACTGCAGTAGTCTCCACAAGTGTTGGAGCAACCCCATCTATTCATTTAACCATTTTATTTAATGGTATATTTTCTCCTGATGATGGAAATGATGTACCTATCACTGTGAGACTGGAACTTGTTGAACGCGGCCTGATTATATTAGATGAGGTAATTTATTAACTTTTTCTTTAGCCTTATGCATTTCAAACTCTACATATGACTGTTTCAATTGTATTAAATTTTGACATCATTATATAATTTATACCAAAACTAGTGGGGTGTATGGCATCGTGCCTTAAGGAAAATTGCTGGAACTTCCCGTACCGTAACGAAATGTTCGAGGAATACTGAATGTTTTCAAATAGATTATTATAAATATTGTAACATTGTCTAATATTTATAATAATTATCTAAACTGAATTGCAAATTTAAAATTATTTGTTTAAGTTATATTAGAACTTTAGTCAGAATAAAAATAAAATCTGAATTATTTTCGATATACAAAATAAACTAAAAAAAAAAAAATAATTCCAAAATCAATTATTTTGTTAAGGCAAGCAGACAGTTCTTTGAATCATTTAAATCGGACGCTTAGTTCTCTCAAAAACTGTCATTTTTTACATATTTAGCTCCGTATCTTCGAAATTGCTGGGCGTGCCTTTGCCAAAAACTAATCACCTCTTTTCCCAATCATTACTAATTGAATGCTTTTTAAATCATTCAAATCGGATACTCCGTTTTCTTAAAAAGTCGATTTCTATTTTCTGCACTCTTTGCTCCGTATCTCCGAAACGGATCTGCCTTCGCCAAAAACTAATCAGCTCTTTTCCCTATCAATAGGAATCGAATGTTTTTTGAACCATTCAAATCGGTTGATCCGTGCGCCCGAAAACGTGACTGGAAATTTGTATCCATACATACATACACACGCACACACATCCATTTTTTCTGAGGTATGCCAAAATGTTCAGAAACCTTCAAAACGTCGAGAAATGTAAAAATTTTCAATTCCGATTTTCGGCCCATTACAATAACTTACCCTACGGGAAGTTAAAAATTGATAAACATTGTATTTTTGTTAGATGCGCATACGTTTCAATTATATTATTAATAATAAAATATTACCTTCAACTATATTTTTCTTAATTAGAAATAAATTAAATGTTATTTTGTAATACGAGGAGTAAATTTATGGCCGACAAGATGTAAATCATGTTTATAATTACAATTCAATTACATGTATGACATTCATTTTATTTGATCCTACCGATAAGCGTGTTCCCAATTCAGCAGTAATGAATAATGTCTGTTTGAACTATTGATTAATAAATAATAATTGTTGTTTCCTTCAGGTACGTCGTGTGCGTAAGCCCGGTCACGAATTGAACGTAATCGAAGTGTCTTCACCTGTATCTGCAGCCGATATGCGCTTGTTGACCCGCGGCCGATTAGCACTCACGGTGGAATCTCGCAGAAGGCCCGAAGCTTTGCGTCTTCAAGGACCTGTAGTGACCCGGGCGACATGCGAAATTTTCCAAACGGCGCTACATTCTTCCTCATCGGCGGCTGAATCCACTACTACTAGTGGTTTGGCGTGGTTGTATCTTAATCGAGATGGTGCATTGGTTTACAACATTCAAGTAAGCATTAATAACCAAACAACTAAGATTTAATAATATTCATTATTATTTTTGATAGAGATATATTTTTATCAATTACTAGCAAACCCGACGAACTCCGTTTCGCCACCAGATGGTTTCGTGAGAAAGATAAGATGAAAGAAATTTTTTGTTTGTTTTATATTTAAAAAGGAAAAATTTGATTTTATTATACAACAGTAATGATTTTATTTCGATTACAAAAATGAAGTGTTTTTCAGTTGAACTTCTCTAAGTAAATAAAAGTGAATCCGCAAATTATCCGTTTCATTGAAGTGCTCTTTGGTAAACCAAATTTTCGTTTTTTGGTCTGACGTTAACACAAACAAAGCGGATGGTTTTCCAACTTGTGAACAGGCAACGTATAACTGCCCATGTGAAAAACATTGATTTTCTAAATAATCTATTTGAAATTTATCTTGCAAACACTAAGCGATTGGCCTTGCGACTTGTTATTGCGAACGCAAGGCGAACTGGAACCAGTCGGAACCATTGGTATGTCACCAAATCGCCAGCAATTTTTGATTGAATGGTGAAATTCAGTGCGTGTACATAATATTTCTTGGCGGCAAGAATTGCTCGTTGACTTAACCAAGCATAATTCTAATAATTCTCACTAATGTCATTACTCGAATTTTTAATTACGGTGCGTGAAGTTCCAGCAATTTGCATTAGGGCACGATGCCATGCACCATTAATATTCTTAGCTATAAACCTTGCGGAGCCCGAGACCATTCCAACGAATGCAAAATTGTCGAAATCGGTTCGTGCGTTCTGGAGTTAAATCGTCAGGAAGGAAAACCCGACTTATTTTTATATATATAGAAGATTAATACTATATCTTGTTATATTTTAACAGGTAGACGAATTAGATAGGACACAAACTCCAATGATTACTTTAGTCGACGATAGTGGAAAAAGGCGTACTGAATTAGAAGACCTTACACCATCACTCACAGCCGATGGTCGAGCGACGGGCACCTTAGAACGACTCGGACCACGTGTTCTTGAACCACTTTACGCCGGAAATTTAGCCGTTAACGTTGCAACTAAAACCCACCAAGAATCTTTAGTACGAGGTAGACTTGTCGCTAGGCCGGTGGCGGATGCTAGAGATTCGCCCGCTGGTGCGATCTTGTTGAAGAGGCCAAATCTAAACACTCCTGCGAATATTGTTGGAGTAGCTTGGCTTGCAGTTGATGCTGCGGATTGCAGCTTGCATTATGATCTTTCTATAGCCGGACGTGGTAGCCATCAGAGAACAATGGAGCTATATTTGGAAGAAGTACCGTTTATAGCTCCAGGGGCGCCGGTATCAAGAGCTTTGTTAGAAGAAGAATTTACTACAACAAATGTCGAAGGCACATTAGCTGGAGTGACGCAAGGAGATTTAGCTAGGTTGGAAACTGGCGTGGTGTTTTTGGATTTGAAGGATAAGATTAAAAACGAAACGATGCTGAAAGCGACTTTGAAACATGTATGTTAAACCTATATTGACATTTTATATTTTATAATTATTTATCTTTTATTTTTATTTTTATTTTTATTTTGTTATATTCTGCGTTACAGATAAAAGTACCTCCCAATTGTCTGCCGCATTACACCGATAATGACGTTTCCGCAATGTCTCCAACGGGTGGTGCAAGTTACGATCCTGAATCCAATTCTCTCCAAGGACATTCTCCAGTTGTAATATCTGTTGATCCTGGTCAGCGCTGTTTCCATTCCGGAAGATTCTATGTAGAAGGTGCTCAATGGCGAAGTGCGGCCGAATCTTGCACGATGTGTTCATGTGTCCACGGAAGAGTTAAATGCGATGCCATTAAATGTCCACCTTTATCTAAATGCAGACTAGAAGACAGAAGAATAAGAGAAGGCGAATGCTGTCCTGTTTGTACGAGTGAGTACTATATAAATTTACAAAATTATAAGAAAAATTTGATTATTTCATTTATTTCAATATTGTTTATTGATTTATTAAATTTATTTTTTCAGATAATACCGTATTGCCTGAACCAACTAATAGCTCTGCTCCTCGTGGATGTTATTTGGGAGATCAGTTTCATAAAGCCGGTTCTTCATGGCACCCATATCTCCCACCAAATGGTTTTGATACCTGCGCCGTTTGCACTTGCGATATGATAACATTAGATATCAGATGTCCAAGAACACAATGTCCACCACTACGATGTGATGAAAAGATTGCTATCAGGCCAGACAAAAAGGCCTGCTGTAAAGTTTGTCCAGAGGTTAGTATATATTCATCATTCTTTAATATTTGTATGAGATGTATTAATTATAAGTAAAATTATAAGTCTATATTATTATAAGTCTTTGGCTATGTGGTTATAAAATGTTTCTCTTCTCAGATAAAAAATGAAGCAGTTCCCATGGTGATATCAGATCCTGGCACAGTACAAGATCAGGGCACTATAGAAATAGCACGAACGAACGAACAGATAATGCAAGACGGTGGCTGCAAGAATCCACTTGGAGCGCCATATGAAAATGGTAAAGAGTGGCACCCTTGGCTCTCCTCGCATGGAGAACAAAAGTGTGTCACTTGTCGATGCAAGGTAAATATAGTGCAAAATATAAACATTGAACATAATGTATAACAAACATTTAAAATTTTCAAATACTTGGAGAACACATGATACTTCTAGTATAAAACTGCAAATTTAAAATTACAAGTCTTTCAAAAGTTTCAAAAATATTTATAATTTTTCTTTTAGGATGGTGCGATTAAGTGTGAGAGGAAGCGATGCCCTCGCATGTCCTGCGCAAATCACAGGAGAGCAACTAGGCTGCAGAAACAGCAAGAAGTGCAGCACCATGAAGCAGTAGATGAATGTTGTCAATGTCGAAGGAATCGGCGGCATCACCACAAAAATCAGCAACAAAAAAATCATGTTAAGACAAATAGCTGAGCGGTTGTGGAGTTAGCAATCAGTTGAACATTTGAAAAATGTCCAGCCATCGCCAAATAGTATTTCGCTTCAGTATGTTATATGTGCCATCCAGCTCTTGTGCGTGTACTTGGTTTAGTCTGTGACGCAAAGTGGTTTTTCCTTATCTACGGTTTGCAATCATGTGCGCCTAAAGATGTTCCAATGAAGTACAAATATAAGAGAGCTCATGTTTAATTCACATATTGTGAGTCTAGCATAAGTTGTGATCAGTAAAATCATCGTGATCAAATTTTTAATATTTTTACACACAGTGAGATATGATGATGGCATTTTTTTATACGCGAGATTCGCTTTATACATTGATTTTAAGTCATTTAGCAATATGCTCCTATAATTGATAATAAGTATTTATACGTATTTTGGATAAGCGAGGAATTTAGCAATGCGCGTTCCAAGTATTCCTATAGTATTGAGTGCCTTAATACAAATATTAATACTATGTTATTTCAAATACTATGTTAGTGTCTGTTATTAAAATATTGTGTCAAAGACAATTGTAGATATTCGTTATTTTTTTTAAGAAAAAAAAAATACAGAAAAACATATTTATTATTCAAATGAATCCAGTAAAATGGGTTATTTTTTATTTTTTGTTGTACAAATTATTTATGATATGCGTATATTATATACTGTTAATCTTAAGAATAGTTGATACGTTACAATACAAGTACAATCTCGAATCATATAACATATTAGTACACACTGTTTTTATCTGAGTCATAGACCTTGTAATACAAGTTCAAGTCTAATGTTAATACTGTAAATATGTAATGATATTTTTATATTATTGATTACTAATTAACTATGTGTTTTTATATTAAGGCATATTTATTATACACATGTTAAATTGAAAGTGGTTGCACGACATTTTAAATTAAGATTTTGAGTCAAATAGAATACAACTTTGCAATTATTTTAAGATTACATTAAAATAATTGCACATGCAATTGGTTATACTTAATTATGTATGCACATATATATATATATATATATATATATATATATATATATATGCATATAATTTATTCATCTACAAAATATCGACTAAAGTAACTTCAATTTAAAAATTGTTACCACAAACCAAAGAAGACTGTTTACGTGATTAGAAATTATTTTTAAATGGCTGAAAATATTTTTCACACCACTTATTTGTATTTATTGTTAAATAATTCTATTCATTAGATTTAATTAATCATAAGTTTTTATTTTTATTACACAGTTTTGCTGGCACAGTTGAACATTTGTGAATATTTTGATCAAAATAGCTTTGTTTTTATTATCGATCTGAATTTTTAAAAAGTTAGTTATTTTGATCAAAATATTATGTGTGACTCTAAAGTGAATGCAAGTATTTAATCACTCTCTGACAATTAAGCAACAATATTTAAATGTTTCAGTATATCTATGAAATATTTTTAAAATTCTATATATATGTACATAATTTAATAAGCCAAGACTGAAACTTCTGTTAGTCATAAACTTGAAATGTGAAGTGAGTGAAAGGAAGCAGCTGAAATGTATTACTAAACTGTTACTAAATTATTAGTTTATAAGGGCAATAAACCAACCACAAATATGTACGTTTCAAGACTTTTTAACAACTATTCCTTTGTTTTGTTAACAGCAACTAAAAATAATAATTTTCTCATGTATAGTATTAGGCTGAACTAATGATTTTTTTTGTTAATACTGATACAAGTTTTGCATAATTTAAATCATTGCGGTTAAAATAAATATTGTTTTGTATAGGCACTGATGTGGACATCTAAATAATAGTCATTATTGATATGTACATATTTATAAATATATATGAATCATTATTTCATGTCAATGTCAACTATTTTAGATATTTTTGCAAGTTTTACTCATTTAATTGAATAGTACTGCACAATATATTTATTAATTTACTGATTATTTAAATATTAAGTAATATTTATAACTAGTTTCCATATTATACCGATCAACAATTTGTATATACATCAAGTCTATAACGCCTTAATGCATGATTATCCTTATTCAGAGTATATTTAATTTGTGCTTTATATATATTGTACTAGTATAGAAAATACAAAACAGAGATTTTTTTAAAAATTACTCATGTAGTAATGAGATACATTAATCCCTCCACAAGTTGTTTTTTATTATACTGTTTAATAATTAAGCGCTTCCAAATAATATCATTGTATATAAAATAGTAGCTTAATAAAACAAAGTTTTAAAAACACACATTTATTTATTTCTAAAATAATTATTTACGTAGTTATTAATATGTTATTTTTTTCATAATATTTGTAAACTACTTCGAACCATTCTCGGACATGCCGTTTTTCACACCTTGTGGAAATACTTGAAGAACTTTATCTACATTTTCTTCATATGCGTTTGGACCCAGTAAACCTATTCGAAATACTTTACCCATTGTACGTCCTAATCCACCTCTGATCTCTATATTATACCTGCATGAAATCAATATTCTTAAATACTTTATTTTAAAAAACTTAATTACATTTGATGCGTAAAATTTGTAATTCGTATCTCGTAAAAAATTAAATCGCATCTTGTTTTAAGTAGGCGAACGTGTCTTTATAACATTTTATTTACCTTTCCATAATCCAATCACAGGCTTTTATCCAATTTACACCTTCTGGTATCCAAAGAGTGGTCACGTTGGGAAGTCTTTGCTCTGGATTCTGCACTACCAATTTGAAGCCTAATTCTTCCAAACCGTGTTGCAGTTTTTGGGAAACTTTTTTATGACGAGCCCACATTTGAGGTAGACCTTCTTCAATAACAATTGCCAAGGATTCTCGCAAGGCATACAGGAGGTTGGAGCAAGCGGTATGATGATAACTGGAATGATACAGTTTATATTTTTAAAGGAAAAATAGGAAACGGTAACATTTACTAAATTATATTAGTACTTAAATTTATTAGGCAAGGTTGATAATTCGCGACTGTCTCCAGAGCGGAAGGACAATATACTACAGACAGTCAAATAAATATATTGTATTTATTTCTAAGTTGGAATAAAATGCATTATATCTAAATATTATTAATATTGTTATTAATATTTTATTATAATTGATAATAAGTCAAGTATATACACTTAATTCTATCCTTACATTCTAGGTCGTCCATAACATGCCCAGTAATCACCCAGCATGCTCATATCCCAATAGTACACCGGACATGGAGTTTTGCGAGACAATATTTTTGTTCTGGAAATATCAGAAATCAATTATGGTAAAATTATTTCTATTACATTTTTGAATAATATTAGATATTAAGTGTTTAAAAAGCCTTTTTCGCTTTCTGTAATTTCTGTAATAAGTTATTAATTGAGCTTTAGTCAAAATAAGATATAATATATTCAAAGATTTAACTTTTATTATGTCACTGGTTAAGGTTTTTAAAAATTCCATGAACGACGAAAAAACAATAAGTCTATTTATTATGAAATATTCTTTGAATAAGTTTTTTTTTGTCTAAGTTTTCTTAGAAATGGATAATTGTTAATTGTAAATTAATTTACTTTTATCTGTAGGTTATTCCGATTAAATAATTTTGTTGTTTGCAAAATCGTGCATGTTTTCTAAGAATTTGAAGTCATAGTTAATATTAAAATACCCTTAATGAATAGTCATTATCATTACTTCTTACAGATATTTTATAAAATCGATTATATATATATATATATATATATACATATATATGTATATATAAATAATAAAAGATTATATTATTAGATTATATATATATATATATATATATATATATAATCTAATAATATAATCTTTTATTATTTATATATACATTATATATATAATAAATGTATAGATATATATAAAATATATATATATAATATATATATATATATATATATATAAAATATATATAATAAATGAAATATATATATATATATATATATATATATATATATATATTTCATTTTTGTAACTTACTGAGCCTTCGGACTGAATGTTATAGGTGCTAAACCTGCTGGCGAGGCTAATACTTTTTGAGAGCCTGAATAAACGGCGTCGAGGGCCCATCGATCTGTGAATAAGGGTGCTCCGCCCAAGGAGGCTACCGTGTCTACGGCTATGAGGCAATCATATCTGTAAACCAGGAACAATGCAAGTATATCTTCATTTGAAATAAAAATAATAGAAAAATAAATTATTTCGAAATATTATTAAGATCAAATATTCAGCAGTAAATGGTTACAAAATTATTTACTAAAAATTTATCATTAATAAAAATTTAAAAAAATTACTAACTTGTGGCATAGGTCGCCGATGCCATCAAGGTTAAATACAACCCCCGTAGAAGAATCTCCGTGTGTCGTAAAAAATACTTTTGGGCGATATTTTTTTAAAGCATCCTCTAATTCTGCGGCAGTTAGATGTGTGCCCAAGGGCGCTTGAATCTCGTACACCGTTGCTCCTAATAAATAATAATAATAATATTTAAGAGAATTATTTAGTTAGAGTAAAAATATATAATACAAATAATAATTATTATAGTGAAGATTTATACAACAACAAAAACGTGAAACCTAATTAACAAAAACGTTTTTACTCTGCATTGCCTCATCAATTGAATATTCTATACTGTTTGGTGAAGTTGTAATAAAAAAAAATCACATTAATAGTAATAGAACAACTGTTTGGGTTATTCATAAAACTCTGATAAAAGTTTCTGATCGCCGTTCAATTAATATATAAAAAAGAAGTTTTATAATACACACCTAGGAGTGTTGATGATATATTGTAGATGATCCATAATTGTTGTACTATGAGCGAAATTTCCGTATTAGTAATCGCAAAAAAATCGAAAATGAAAATTTTTATATAAATTTACGTTTCAAAGGTTTTTGAACATTTTGGCATATCTTAGAAAAAATGAATGTATGTGTGTGTGTATGTGTGTGCGTGTGCGGATACACATTTTTGTCGACGATTTCGGGAACACCGTTCAACAGATTTGAATAATTCAAAAAACATTCGATTCGTATTGATAAGGAGACGTGCTGATTAGTTTTGGTGAAGGCAGGTCTAGTTCTTCCGAAGATACGGGGCAAAAAGTGGCAAAAACGGTAACTCAGTTTTTAAGAGAACGGAGCGTTCGATTTTAATAATTCAAAAAACATTTTACTCGCATTGATAAGGTGAAGAACTGATTGAATTTTTGGAAAGGCAGGTCTAGCGGTTATACACTCTCAATAAAAATAAGTTAAAAAATGTCATTAGAGGGTCAAAAATGTTTATTGGACATATGTACATCAAATTATCAGATGTTTTACAGAGATTTTAATAATGTGTACACATTTTGTGTAATTTTTTTGGGTTTTGTACCAAGATTTTAATTACGGTACGGGAAGTTACAGCAATTTGCCTTAAGACACGATGCCTTGCACCCTACTAGTTTTCTTTATTACCTTTATGACTTCAGTCTTACCGTATCTCTTAGACATATCGGCGGCTCTGAATCCCCAGAATCCGCTGGTGTCCACCAGAGCAACTTCGCCTGGTTCTATCAGGTTACTGATAACAGCATCCATGCCTCCGTGCCCGCTTGCGCTTACTACGAGCGTCAATTCATTCTTTGTTTGGAATAGATAACGAAGACCATCTTTGATTTCGTCCATAATCTATCATGATAATAATTATCGTAATATATAATACTTAAGTAAATTCAAATTTTGATAATTTTAGACAGATAAAATCTAGATATTGACGAAATTTCTGGGATGAATTTAAAGTCTGCAAAAATAAGAAATTATTTTATTCATTCGGATGATCTGAATAAGATATGGTTATCATTCAACTATTCAGCTGTATAAATATATAATGTAAAAAAATTACAGGCATCCATCGAATCATTAAAAAAAACTAAATTATGTTTCATTTATTTTATTAAATATTTATAAAAATATTTAATATAATTATATATAAATTAAGTAATTTTTTATATACATTTGGTTATATTAAACAAGTTATTTAAAAAAAAACTGCAAAGCCACACACATGAACAAAAGATACTTTAACGAAAGGTGTAATGTATCTAATTTAAAAAATTAAATTAAAATTAGATATAAACATCCACCCTGTTGAGATGTATGAAACAAAACCAACTCAACTGTTAAATAGTGTTAAAATAATTCAAACATAATTTAGTTTTTAATAACATAATTAATTTAATGAATGAAACCATAAAGAAACATGACCTATGACTGCAGATTATGAACAAATATAGTAATTAAACTAAAAATTGGTTAAGAAAATAAATCAGAAGTTTAATATTAAAAAGCACTCAGTAGATAAATATGTAGGTGTATAAATGCATAATCGTTTATATGTTTTCTTGAAGAAGGAGACTTTGTATATTCTCTTCAAACATATTGAAAAATCAAATAAATATTTTTTTTATATTTGTTTATCGTAAAATTATTGTTCAAAATTTATTATAATTAATTAAAATATATAATTATCATTAAGTAACGTTTTTAGTATCTATTACAATCTGTTTTAAACTAGATTTTAATGAATAATTAACTCAATATTATATCTTTATGCTTTATCTTTTGGGTAACCCGGTCAAAGGTTTAATTACCAAAATATTTCAATGTTACATTGAGAAACAATTTCAAGAAGATTGCGTCGAATTATCGATCTCATAACATAAATTAAATTTAAATTAACATCTATAAAAATAAAATATTCAGTAAATAAATTAAATTTTTATTTATTAAATTAAATATTATTATTAATAACTTGAATTTGAATGTTTTGAAGACTAAACTAAACATAATTATAACTCCAGTGAAAAATAAACATGTTTAAATATTTTACTCCAAATTTCATTAAAAACCCTCATTTTTTTATGAAATTAAATTAAAATTATCTGCATATTGATCATTATTACAATATACAAATTTATTAAATTATTGTGTTTATTGAATTATTTAATTGCTTTTTCATTATATTATATGCAGTTATTTGAAATAAATGCATATATGTCGATAATGTGACAAAATATGTTTGATTTCAATTATTTTTACTCTGTTCCTTTTATAATAAAAATGTACATTATATTTTATACAATATATATATTATTTATAAACTTACTTGGCATAAGGCAGGATCCAAGGGTGCTAAATTTGGCAAAGACATACATCTCAGAACCCTTTCGGGGCAATTTGTGGGGCCAGGACCCATCAGTAAAATATCTGGAGCATTTAATGCCTTACTCAGAGCCGTGGGTCCTTCGGGATAGTCTAGTTTCTCCATTATTCGAAACTTTTTTAACACTTTTTATTTTAATAAACTCTAAATTGAATATATATATCGATAATTGTAATATTAAATAATAATTTAAACCTAATGATTTTTTCTAGTACTGATTGCTCCAAGACTGATTGCACTACTGCCAGTTGAACGCGGTCCATGTGGAGATAGCAATATTCCAGTAAAAACTGTATTTTTCAGTTACAGGGCCGAATCAAGAAGTTTTAATTAAAATAATCTTAATTGTAAATTATCAAGTTATTTATGGCTGCTTTTATTATTTTTATGAAGTTTTATAGAATAATATAAATGATAGACTAACAGTGTGGGCTATAATGTTTTCGCCAGAAAGTATGACTCGCTATTTATCGACATTTCAGAAGTCAATATGTATTAAAGATCATTTTTATAAGGACTCGTGTTAATTTCTTTGGTGAAACAATCGGCCGAGCCATTTCTTCAGGGATAGAAGAAAAAACCGTTTTTGAAAATTTGAAAACCGTTTGAACTGTTTGATCATCATCAGTTGGAAGTTGGAAAACGTGCTGATTATTCCGTAAAGATCGGCCTGGCTATTTCTTCGTAATTAATTTTAATGAAACTTTCTATAGAAATAGAGTTCATGATCTGAAGAAACATTCTTAAATATTACGGGCCCAGGACAAGTGGTTTAAATATAAATATTTATTCAAATTTAGAATTATGGTGCGTGTGTCTAGTTTAATATATTTTAGGTAGTTAAATATTAACAATTTATATTATTATTTATCAATATTACTTGATGTTAATAAATTAGCAGTTGTAATAATTATTGAAATTAAAAAAAAAAATATTATATATATATATATATATATATAATATAATATTATTATTTGTGTTTGCATTTTGTGCACACATTTGTATGTGTTTTGTGCTTGTATTTGTATGTAATATATTTAATATAATAAAGCAAATCAATTATAACAGTAATACGTATTACTATTTCTCTATCATTGGTATATAAAGTTTACAAACGTTTCAAAATTTCAAATTTGCCGCTTATTACGTATTTCATATCTAATTCAGAATGTGAACTGTGGATCAATGATCTGGCAACACTGCATATCTTTTTCCTTTCTGCCATCGTGGATGATTGAAATGGGTCTTATTTTTTGGTTATAGTGAAATAACTTTTAAGTGAGTTTTAGCAATAATTATATAGTTATCAGTTTCGTCGTTCCATGAATTATACTTTCTGTTATGAATGAAATATATGCTCCAAGTTTTTTTTTTACCATGTGTTAAATAAACTTTTATAAGTGTGGCTTGCTCTATTCTATATTAATATTTTATGTTTTGCAGATAGCAGGCCAACATGCAGATTTTTGTTAAGACCCTTACGGGCAAGACCATTACTTTAGAGGTCGAAGCTTCAGATACTATCGAAAATGTGAAGGCGAAAATTCAAGATAAAGAGGGAATCCCTCCGGATCAGCAAAGGTTGATTTTTGCTGGCAAACAGCTAGAAGATGGACGTACCCTTTCTGACTATAATATCCAGAAAGAATCCACTTTGCATCTTGTTTTGCGTCTTCGAGGTGGAGCCAAGAAACGTAAGAAGAAGAATTATTCCACTCCCAAAAAGATCAAGCACAAGAAGAAGAAGGTCAAGCTCGCAATTTTAAAATGCTATAAGGTAATGCTCTAATCAATTATTTACTTGTAGTAATTTATCAATATCTTTACTAAACGGATAAATACTATTCTCGTATGCTAATATGATCCATAGAGATCATTGTTGCTATAACAACTTTTACATCAAAGGGATTATTTAGATTTTAGAAAGCTATATAGTTCCACAACATATTTAAAATTCATATTATAATAAATCTTGAAAAAGTACTTGATAACGATTATTAAAATCCAACATTCATGACGTTGTATTGTGCACCATAATATTCATTATTAAAATAAGTATATCGCAGCATCAAAATTTCTGCCATATTATTAATCATAAATATAACTAAATGTATTTTGTAAGCTTTTCATATCCAATGCCATTCTGATAAATATATGTAGTATAAAAATGGAAATTTTGAATGCCTACTTCTTAATTATTTAAATTTAAACAAGATTGTTCTATGACTACATTACACAGTACACATTAAATATCAATCATTCTCATCATTGTATCCTTGTAAAATTACTGAGCAAATGTCTAAACTTTAAATATTTTTTTAGGTTGATGAAAATGGAAAAATATTCCGCATGCGTCGTGAATGCCCTGGAGAAGCTTGTGGGGCTGGTGTTTTCATGGCGGCCATGACCGATAGGCACTACTGTGGGAAATGTGGCTATACTCTGGTTTTCAGCAAACCAGAAGAATAAACTGTTATGTAAAAATATAAAATAAATATTCATAACACATTTCTGAAGTTTTATTTTAGATATATTTATCTATTTTTTATTTATTATAACTACATATATATTCTATAATTTACAGGCAGGAGTCTTTAAGTTATCATTATATAATTTACAGGAGTCTTTAAGACTTCATAATATTTAAATTGCTTGTAATTCAATCAATATTATTAATATATGTACACAGTTTATGATACAAAAATTAGTCTTTAAAGTAAGAATGAAAACGTTTAAATTTTCTCTTGTTTTACTTAAATTTAATGATATTCATTATTTATTATGATACTGATTATTTGTGATAATCATTGATACCTCTAACTTTATGATTTTGTCTAGCTTTACTAGAATGTGTTCAAATTTACTACATACTAAATCTAATGAATATATTTTAATATTGTCTAATAATAGTTTAATAATAATAATATTAATTAATAATAATAACAGTCTAAGATAGTAAAATCAATTTGCTATCTTTTAAATCATTATTATATTGTTTAGATTTTAAATCTTTCAATTTTAAAATATCGATAACTTCATCAATTATTCTCATTCGTACCTAACTTCATATATAAATACAGATCTGAATCCTAGGTTGTGAAGTGTGGGTCAAGAATAATGAATAATGGTGTTCAGTGCAGTCAAAATAATTCATTTTACTGCTCGTATTCTTTAAATTTTTCGTTTCATTTGGAAAATTGTGATACATATAGCATCCTAAACGAAAGTATTATAAATATATTTTCGTGTAACATATAAGTTGATAACAAACTCCTGAAGTTGTTTGTCATGTAATATATTACTTTGCCAAATATTCACTTTAAAAACAATATGTTAAATTGCGAATACTGTTAAAATCGCTCTTTAAAATAGTCAATCAAATAATGTCGCGGTCAATACGAGCAGAAACGCGTAGTCGCGCAAAAGATGATAATAAACTTCGTATGCAAGCAGTTGACAAGGTCCGCCATTGGTGGGTTATAAATTTGTTATATATAAACAAAATAATATGAAACATTTAATATCATTTCCTTGCAATTGTTTCCATGTACATGTATGACTTAATATACAATTATTATTGTATACAATTATTATTGTATATTAAGTCATACAATTTTCAATCGTTTTGTATGAAAATTTTTCTTATGGTTAGGGACAATATATATTACCAAATAATAATAAATAAATAAAATCTAAAATAGCTACACTTTTAAAGCATCATTGTATGACAATATTTTATTGTGAACATTTATTTTATCTTTTTAATATAAATGGATTATTTACAGGGAGAAGAAATGGGTGACTATCGGTGAAACATCAATGAGGATATTTAAGTGGGTTCCAGTATCAAGTAGCGAACAGAAGAAGAAGTTATGCATTAAAGAAAATAAAGAGAATTCACACAAACCTACTACAGATTCTTCAAATTCGAATTTTGGATTAACAGAGGATTCCAATACTTGTAAGATTAAAATTGTTTAATTTGAGACATTAGAAAAATTATTAGAATAAGTTCTTGAATGGTAATAATAACATTACAATCTAATTTTCAAGTATCAGATAGTTTTTTAGTGTTATTTTATACATTTTCTCTAATTTTACTACATGTTTAATAATAATAAATTATGTAATATTAATGCAAGATAAATTTATAGGTTTTTCTACAGTTAGCGACTCTCAAGGAGCAACGGAATTTGTTTCCAATATGCCATTTTCTGAAGATTCTAATTCTCAAAGCAGTGAGACAGGAACTCCAGCTAAAAGATCAAAACTAGATAATTAATGACAAAATGCCTGAAATAATGTGATCGAACATTTTATATTTCTTGGCATGATTTTTTTTATATGCGTTTAGTATTAAATGTTAAAAGTGATGTATGATTTTACCAAACGTGTGTAACTATTTATTTAAATGTCTGTGGGCCTGAACTTTGTAGCCATACTTGTATTCATGATTTATTTATTGATTATGAACCTGTAAAAATAAATAAAACAGTTATTTTGTATTCAGTGTCTTAAAAGACTTCAAATGTTTAAATATGCCAATTAGCTTCGCAAATTATTTTAAGAATTTCAAAATGTTCAACGTATATTATATTTTAAATATATTAAGTTCTAAAGATACTTAAATATAATGAAACATTTTAGTAAAAACAATGTGTTTAAATATAGCATGTAACATTTAGGAATAGGTAGATTATTATATGAAAAAGAATTTCTAGCATTTAGCACATTAAAGAATGTTAAAATATTTTATGTTTAACATAAAAGAATGTTAAAATATTTTATTTCAAAAGATTGTTTTTTAAATTACATTACATTATAAATTATTTATTTAAATGTATGTATTTAATAAATAATCATGTATAAACTATCACTTATATGACTATGCTGCCTTGTTTAAACTTCTATATTCATTTATGATTTTAATATATCAGTATCTATTTTGACTAGAACTAGTATATTGCCTAGGGCTAAACATTTAAATATATTATATTACCGGGTTTGGTAAACTCAGTTTTGTTTCATACTTCATGGCACTGTTCAGTTATTTATTGGTTGGTATTTCCGCAATCATGAAGAAGAGGGAAGACGGAAGCTTCACTTGATTCACACAGCCATTTTATTTCAGTCAAGAAATTTGTTTGGTTAAGAGGTTTCGTTGGAAAAAATACTTTGTACAAATGATGGCTTACGTTATGGAGAGTCATGGATTACCCAGAGCTAATTATATAGTGAGTAAATAATATTTTGTATTTTTTTGTTGTTATAAAATAAATAAATAAAATTATTTTGAATTATATTTCCGTGATGATATGTTACACCTTTAATGATACATCAATGATTATTTGTTAACATGCACTACCAGCTGATTATATCTTTGATTTAAATAAGTCTCTTGTAATTATGTGCTTTTTTAAAAATGTTGTTTTCTTTAGATTTTAGTCTTGAAAACCACGTGGACCTAATTCGATTGTGATGTACAAAGATGGTTGCAGCTTACTTCGGTAATTACAATTATTTAATATACTATTACTTATTTTCATGATGATATCTTACACCTTTTATGAGATATGATTATTTGTTAACATGCACTACCAGCTGAAGAACTATATAATTCGGTATTCGACACATTTCCGCTACTTTGTTTTTATAATAATTCATTTATTTCAGGTTTGACTTCAAAGAAATGATAGCCACATCCTTTCGATGTAAAGAGACAGTTCTGGATAAGGTAAATACTGTTTCTTTTCATTTTTGTCTAATAATTTTATGATGAAAAATTACACCATAAATGAGTCATGATTATTTGTAAACATGCACTACCAGCTGAGGAATTTATTAACCCTTAGCATTTTAAAATGCTAGAATTTTTTTTAAATTAGTTTATAATTTTCAGAGTACATCGTTGTCGAGTCTTCAGGGTTGATACCAGCTGTAGAAAGACGACTTCCTTTGAACTTACTTGATAAGATGTAAGTTCTTTTAAGTATATAGAAATAAAATATATTGCTTTAAATTAAATGATGTGACTTTTGTCAGTTCTGCTACTGAATAGTTTTGAAGACAGCTTCATTACTGATCCTCTTATTTATTTATTAATTTAATTTGGTGTGTTAATTTTTTTTATTAATGTAGATGTTTCATTTTAGGAACTGATATGGTGCCTGGCACTATGATCATTTTAAGGATGATTTTTCATGAAATCAAGGTAACTTCTATGACATGTTTGCAATATATTTCATATGATGTGACACTATGTCAGTTCTGCTACTGATATCATTGAAAGAAAATTTATTTACTGAATGTTTTATTTAGTTTTTGTTCATAGTATATTTTCCTTTCATATATTAATGAAATCTATTTCTAGATTGTCTTGTAATGGAAGATATCAAAGATTGGACTTCTTCCAATACACCTACAACACAATTATATAGGTAATACATAATATATTTGAATATTTGCACTTATATTCATATGATGAATACATTAAGTCAGTTCTGCTACTGAGTAATTATGACAGACAAATTATGTACTGATATTTATAATATAGAACTTTATTATAATCTAGCTGTTATTGGTTGTTAATGTTATGTATATATTTATAGGTGCTGCAGTTTCAACATTACTACAGATCTAGAACGGGTCCACTTGCAATATTTGTCAATTCTTATGAAGGTAATATATTTCAATATTTACAACTATATTAATATGATGAATAAATTTGCTCAGTTCTGCTACTGAGTAATTATGACAGACAAATCATGTACTGAAATTTGTAATGTTTAATTATATTAAAATCCGTTTATTTCTATTTGCTAATGTTAAATGTATTTACAGGTTCTGTGCTTCTAACATTTGGAGGATTGATACATTATACAAATACATATAATTGTAATTTTATAAATACAAAATTGATTCTTATGTTTGCATTTTTATTTAACCTTCCATTAAACTTTGATTTTATGTATCATAAAATGTGAAATTAAATATCAATTATGAAATCATTAATATGCATGATAATGTATTAACACATTAAGTATTTAATTTATTATTTTGCTGTTAAATATCATTTTAGATAATATTTGATAACCATTTAAATATGTTTCAATATCAATCTGGAGTTAATAACTATAAAATTTAAACGGATTTTACAGTTTTTTTGTCAAACAACTTTGTTTATATTATTCTTCTCCGTCGCAGTTGGCACCCCTGACATTTTGACATTCTTGTTTTATATTCTTACTTTTTTAGTTTTGCTAATGTTATCAACATAAATTAATTTAAAATAACCAAAAATTATTCATGTTACATAGAACATTCGTATTAAAAATTTATAACCATGAATGCGTTTAATTCAGAAAATACTATATTAGAAACTCTGCAAGCAGCTTGCAGTCAAGATGCTAACATATTAAAACCGGCAGAAATGATTTTAAATCAGTGGGAAATTCAACCAGGATTTTACAGCGTATTATTAGTATGTTTTTAATAACAATCATACATAAATGTTATTTTTTTGTATATAAATGATATATGTTCTTTCAGAAAATATTTGCCAATCAAACAATTAATTTTAATATTAGATGGCTAGCTGCACTTTATTTCAAGAATGGCATTGATAAATATTGGCGAAAAAACGCTCCGAAGTAAGAATTACAAAGTTTAAAAATGGAATATATATGCAATATGTTATTATGTTATAAGCATTTACAAAAGTCTTGCTTTTTAAAGTTGTATTGCCGAAGATGAAAAATTGGGTATACGAAATGCAATTATTAGTTCATTTAATGAACCTGTCAGTCAAATTGCTGTTCAACTTGCCGTGATCATAGCAAAAATAGCAAGGTACGTAAGTAATTTAATATCAAGATTCAAATAATAGACTGTACTGATATTGAAGCATCTAATTTTTGAAAGATTTGGCATGTGAAATTTATTTGTGCACTACAATTACTTGATGTGTATTAACGTCTGTAAAACAAGTATGACAATACAGTGATAAATAGGTGAAAAAAGTAATAAATATTGTACAGTCAAAATTGTATTGAAAATATATATGATAAGTTTTAAAAATACACATCAATTTGGTCTTTCTATATAAAATATTTTATAAAATCCTTCAAGTTAATTTGTTTTACAATATGTTAAGTTTAAACTATCATGAATATTTTAACTTTTATAAGTATTTTATTATTAAATTGGATCTTTAAAGATTTGATTGTCCTCGAGAATGGCCAGAATTAATGCCTACACTAATGCAAGCTCTTAAAAATGATGATTCATTGCAACAGCACAGAGCGCTTTTATCAACACATCATGTTATAAAATCTCTTTCATCAAAGAGATTAACTGGGGATAAACGACTTTTTCAGGTGATTGGATACCTGCATATGTAGAGGTACAAATTATATTATAACTTAGTAAATTATTTTATTTTCTACAGGAGCTTACTGAAAATATATTTCCATTTATACTTAGCATTTCTAATGAAAAAACAGAATTGTATTTAAATTTAGTGAGCAGTAATGGATCGAAAGAATTAATTCATGAAAATTTAGAAAAAGCATTATTGACATTGAGAATTTTGAGAAAACTGAGTGTATTTGGTATTAAAAAACCACATGAATCAGAAGTATGTATGCTGTTTCTCAAAAATTTATTTTTAAAATCTAAAATGATGCTTGATTCAAGTAAGTAAATAATAATTAGCATTCCTCTTTCAAGTCCATCACATTATTTTTTGTAAATAAATTTTGTAACCACTATAGTTTTGTAACCATTTTATTATTTATTACAAAATATTAAAAATATATTTTTAACAAATAGCAAATTAATAATGAATTAATGAATATATTAAAACATTATATTAATAATTAACTTCGTAGCATCTTATTTCGTATTTTATAACATATATAAAAAGAATATATAATAAATTGTATGAATTGTGTGAATTAGTTGATTTTAATGATAAAAATGAAAGTTTTGTTATGGTTTTGATAGATAAAATCTTCCAAATATTACATAATGTTTATTAAGAAATGAAATAATGTTATATTTAATTTTATTTCTTTACAGGAGCTTACTTAAAGATGATTGATTCCAATTTAGTGGAATTATGCGAAAAATATAACACATTTGACTAAAATCCTATTAGACATATTACAACATCATCCATTCTCGTTCATTGACTTTATTCAGCCTGCATTAGAATTCTGTATTTTTTATGCATTCACTCCTGATGGAATAACACAGGTGTATGAACGTTTTATAATACAATGTTTAAACATCATTAAAGGGATAGTAATGTGTATCGAATACAAGCATAGCAAAAGTAAAATACCAGGTAT